AAAAGTGAAAAAAGCGGAAATCTGCTAAATACGGAAAAATCTCATCCCTGTTGAAATCATCATCATTCACAACAATAACGTATTATAGCCGAAAAACAAAGGTAACATATACAAAATTAAATTGTTAAAGCTTAAGTTTAAATTATTTTAGAATTCTAAGTACAATTAAATAAAGAAAAATAAGGAGGAAATGATATGAAGTTTGCATACACTCACATATATATAAATTGAAGACAAATTATCTTCATATACAGTCGGACCTCTATTTAATGTAGTCGCTAAATCTTGATAATAAGTACGTTATATGGAAAATTTGTTAAATAAAAATAACCTTTTGAAATACTTAAACACAAAATAGGTTTTAAATTCATAAACACTACATATAATTAAAATAGAAATTGATACACCTTTATCTTGTAAACTAGTATCTATTTTATAAATCTTAACCATAAAAGAAATCTGCATGGAAATCAAGAATAGAGCAAAACATTATTCAGTGTTTAACACTATCATGCTACATACCTTTTCTAACTAAAAAAGCTAAAATTATACATAAAATTATAGCTGCATTTATTATAAAGTAATTTTGAACATACATTACCAGATGCGATCTTAAGTTTAATTGCTGCTGATAAAATCCCTTAATTTTATCTAAGTTTTTCACTTGAAATGCAAACAAAAAGGGATTTTACTGCTTTCTCTAAAAGTCAATTAGCTACGAAAATGAATTCTCAGTCATTTCCCCCATAAAATGCATTGAAAAGTTTGAAATGTGCCGAAATATTTTAGGAAATAGGGAAAGTGGATCTCAAAGAAAAGTTCGTTAAATAGAAATTTCAATTCGCTATTTGGAAGTTATTTTACGAAGAAATTTCCAATATGTTCTTGGTTCCTTGAAAACAATAGCAAAATAGAGAATTTCGCAAAATGGAAGTTCGTTAAATAGAAGTTCGACTGTATTTTTTTTTACACAATAATTGTTTCAGACTCTCCAAGAATTGGTATTTCGCTATAATTGAAAAAATTTGAAACTGAAGCATTGATAAAAAATACATAGAAAAAACCTACTTCTCGTGCTTCAAGAACAGCTCCAGAGTAGGCATATGGAAAAGGTCCATACCAAGCAACTAATCTAGGTTGCGGTACTTCCTGACCATGTATAATTATATTTTTGTCATGCCATGCTGTACTGTCTTTTAAAAGGGTCATCATACTATCCGCTTCAGCTTCTGGTATAAAATCAGGCTCAAATATAACCCTGAAAAAATAAAAATTATTCTTATATTTTATCATTTTTAAAATAACATTCAACATCAATGTTTATAATATAAGATTATATTATAAACATTATATTATAAATATTAAAAGCTACTTTTAATTCATTACGATCACTGATGAACTTACCTCGATATCCCATTTTCTGTTTCACTTAAAACATGTTCTCCAGGTGTCCTAAAAATACAAATATAATACATAATTATATGACTACAATGAGTATTTGAAGAGTTACTTGGTTAGATGTAAATATATTATAAGATAATTAAATAAATTTAGATACAAAAGCTTCTTCCAGAGAGGTAAAAAATGCTCAAGAAGAAATATAAAGTATTTCAACGAATATAATTGCAGTCAAGTTCAAATATTAATTTTCTAGAAAGTTAACATTTTCTTCCTTTAAAGAAATTAAAACTAAAAAGCAGAAATGGGAAAGAATTATAAATATAATAAATTACTTAAGAAATAAAAATAACTGCAGTTTCTTTTGATGTTTTACAAAAAGTAGCATAATTGAACTCAACTTTATAAGAGCTCTTAAAATATCACAAACAAATTAAATTAATACAATTTAATAAACAAATTCAACTGTGATTAGCAGTAGCAATTAATCACAACAATACTACAAATCAAATATTGTGAAGTATGAACAGTGAAACAAGCAGTTAGATAATGTGATTGTAGAGATTTTGAAATTCTTTTAAAACATAAACATTATAAAAATAGTTACTTTTTTGTACTTTCAATAAAACAGTACTAAAATGTTCATATCTACTTTTTTTTCAAAAAAAAAAAAAAAAAAAGTCTATGTGAATAATCTTGCATTGTTTCATTAAAAGTTAAACTATTTAACAATATTTATCACTAAACAATTATATGTCCTTTTTAATTTCTTCTAATAGGTTGGAAGAAATCTTAACCATGGTTTTATCAATAAATTAAAATATACATATATATATTTTAAAGAAAAGTAGAATAATAGCTTCATAAAAATTTAAAAAATATTATTTCAACTTATTAGAATTTTATTAATATTGTGTCTTACTTAATTTCAACTGCAGGCTTCTTTTCTTCAAGCTATCAAAATGAAATATCAATTAATAATAATCATACTGATTTTAAGTATTGAATTCAATAGTAAAAGAACTTTTAAGCAAGTTGAACTTAACAAATGTAGTGCGCAAAACTAAAAAATTGAACACTTCGAATAACTTTTGATCTAATTGGATTTTACATATTAGAACTCAATTATAATGCTTTGCAGGCCGTATATATTATAAGTTGCAAAATCAGACACTGTACTTTTTCTAACGAAACATAGCCCTCCTTTTTTTGTTGTCAGATTTGGATTTAATTTAGAATTCTTTGCACAAAATAAGATTTGCTAACCCAAAGATATTATCTAAAAAAAAATGTTCTTGTTTGTGAAATTTTTTATAACAGTCAGAGTGACAACTGCAGAAAAATAAAATTTTGAGTATTGAAAAAAGTTCTTAGGATTTAGCTAAATTTTCCTGAACTCAACATTTTTGTGGGTCAAAATTGGAAAAAAAAAAATCAAGTTTAATAACATAGGATTTATTAATTTTACTATTTAGTTCAACTTATTGTGAAACTGTTCAAATTTAAAAATTTTTATTGTTCTTTTTATAGTTACGAAAGAGTAAAGCAAAATTTTGTTAATAAATATTCAGGGAATAACATGTGAGGTTTACTAAATATTAATTGAATGACAATATTTATAAGAATTTTAATTAATTTAGGAACTAAAGTTTCCTAATTGAGAAAATTCAAGCAGTTAATTTATTTAACTATATGAATACCATATAAGAGGAAAAGAAAAAGAACAGAATGATAAAAAATACCTTTTTCAAAAATTTTAATTTCATTAAAAAAAAATTTTTTTTTTGTTGATAAAAAATACATTTTTCTATTTTTATATAAAAAACTATCACAATCCTAAATAAAAAAGCATTTTCTTTAAAAAATTGTAGATATTAAATTATATAAGTATTAACAATTAAATTTGAGAAGGGGATCAATAAAAAATTAAAAGCTTCAATACAAAGTGCTATAAAACCTACTTCAGGAAATAAGATATCAGCTTGTTCATCATATTTTATTTCAACACCATCAGCAGATTTAGACTCTAAGCTTTTTCTTTTACTAGTGCCTGTAATGAATTAAAACTCTTTGTTATTTATAAGAAAACCCCCATTCAAATTACTTTAGCGATAACTTAACAATAATTCCAAAAACTAATTTGAAATGCTTATTGAAGTAAAAGTTCACATTAATTCAAATGGATAATAAAAGTATAAAATTATATAACTTCATATAATGATAAAAACTAAGTTGTTTCACAGATAAAAATTATCTTGATTAGTGAGTAATAATTTTTAAAAAAAAAAATATTTTTTTAAGGCACAGCCTGTTATAAATCAAAGCTGTGCCAAATAGTCTTTGTTATCTGGTCCTATTCACAATAAGGCTTTTCCAGTTGCCTTTATCAGGGAGCGTAGCCAAAATTTCAACAAAAAATAAGGAACCTTTTAAGCACTAAAAGAATATTTTTAAGCACTACATACATTAACAAAATGTAAAATAGTTTTCAAAAACTTCTCATGATCACGATAAAATAACTAATTTCAGATAAAGAACTCTTTTCTTGATAACATTAGCCACTATAAAAAGATCGAGACAGTTTTCGGATCTATTTCAAAGGGTGGAGAATGAAGCTTGAAATGGAGAATATCTTGCAAAATGCAGCAGAGTTGCACAGAAGAGTGCAAGAATCTCACCAAATCCAGCTCAGTATACATACATGCGGACCAGCATGTATTTCAGCAAACATGTAAAATGATTGGCGCGTTCATACCCTACGGAACGCTGTATGTCGAAATGCATAGAGTTTGAATAAAATGTGAAAACCACACTTTTGCATAATATGTGGTAAAAATCGGCGTGGTAAAGAAAAAAAATCTCATTTTGGAAAAGGGAAAATTAAGCACTTTTTAAAAACACTCAATAAGAAAAGCAACTTTAAAGGCTTTTAAAAAACGAAAAATAAGCATCTTCAAGCACTTCCTAAAAACGCTATGAAAGTCATTTCCATCATGTTAATCAATATTATTGGACAAGTTACAGTTCTCCATGAAATTAATAAAAGTGAGCTTTTTCACAGGGTTTGCATTATCAGATCGGTATCAAAATCAATCTATTACATTTATCTTTTTTAACGAACATTTTGACAGTTTAATAAGAATCAAATCTTGTTTTATTTAATAATAACAAAATTGCATATGCGGTATCTTAGATAGCTATTTAACATATCACAAATTTACAAAGAATGAAGATGCATATGAAACCTGACAAAATTTTTATGAAATATTTTCTGTAATACAAACTGTAATAAGTTTTTTAAAGTACATAAGCTGAGATACGTATCACAGAAGTTATAATAGCCTAAGATGATCATAAAAGTTTTGGTTGAACTTGAAAACATACAATCAAAATCATACTATCAATTTCAAAATTTTTCCTTAAAAAAAAAAAAAAATGTTAGGAGAGGCAGTCTGGATCACTTACACATTTTGGTTGCACTCTAAGGCATAAATGTACAAAAAATTTAAATTTTTAAATGATCATCATTAATCATAAAAATCACCATAATTAAAACTTACTAACTTCAAAAGCACTAAGAATAAAAATACTTAAATATTAATTACAGATCAAATTACCCTCATCATTTTTGCGTTTCGACTTATCTTTACGAGATGTCTTGGGTTCATCTGAAAATCTCCCTTGAAGTCTGGCATTTCTTCTTTTATCGTCATTCATTTTATTTAAACATTTATATCAACCTAAATAATCAATCAATATAATAAATCAATAAATAATGCATCAATATAATGAGTCAAACAATTGCTCTTGTCACAATGCAGATTTATTGAATTCATATCAAAACTTAATTTTTGAGTTTTGTTTTCTCAAATTCAAACTAAATAAGAAGCAGGAAATTTAACTATTTTTTACACAAATCAGCTATTATGATCAGATCAACCATACATAATGATAAAAATAAATAAAACTTATAGCTGAAATAACACGTAACAATATTTTATAAGATTTCTACCACAATTACGCACAGTGAATAATTGGAATAGTTGTAATTTACAATAGATAACTCACAATGAAAAGAGAATATTTGGTAATGGGCAAGATCAGAAGTCACCAATCGCCATAAGGTGACTAAATAAAAGAAGTAGCCATAAAAAAAAAAAAAATGCTTATCATTCCACTCACTCAAAACCGCCTCTTTTTGTCATTTGACCTTCTATCCTCAGCACTGCTTATTTCTGAAATAATTCTAAGAATTCTTTCATTTTTTTAAAATTAAATATTTAACAAGTTGCCCATCAGAAATTTTTAAAAAGGTAAAATTCAAGAGCTATAAAATTCAAATTCTATTTACTAAATGAAAAGATCTTATTTTTTCGTTATCATATTCTTAATAGCTGTTTCGGCCCTTTTTGTAACTGTTTGTTTCAACACCCAGCGAGATGCGTCGAACTTTTTTTGTAAATATTTTTTATCGCGACCGTAAAGTAGAATTAATGACGAAAAAAAACTTCACGAAGATTAAGCTAATGTTTGATTTTGTTTCTTTGCTGAAAGATGAAACAGGATTAAAAAGGTACTGATACAGAAGTTTAAGATTGATTATGAGAAAAACAATTCTATATTCCTTTTTTTAATTATTATTTTCTTACAACATGACAGGTAGATACTTTATTTTAGTCGCACTTGAGCTGCATAATGGGCTATTGGCGGAGGACCTAGGAAACATCCTTGAGGATGATCTGAAGATATGCCATCATAATTTTGATCTTTTGCAAAAGGGGTGGCTCCTCCGCTTTTGTAGTCCGATGACTAAAGCGAGAAGCCTTAAAATATGATAGGTTATAATAATTATAAAATATTTTCTTACATTATTAGTAAAATTTTTTTAACCTAAGAAAAATAATTTTTTTTTATAACAATTAAGAAGCAAAATCATGATTAAAGTACTTTAAACGCAAAAAGTGGTCGGTGGAGAGAAAAAATGGGCAATTAGATAAATTTTCCAGTCTTGCTCTTTAATATTTGGGATAAATAGTTTTTGGGATTTAATTCCTACTCTCCAACAACTACAGAATTTCAAGAAATATTTTTCTTAGTGATAGCAAAACTTATAAAATAATAATTAAAGAAATCAGAATTAAAAGACTTATCTAAAATAAACAATTAAATTAGATATGTAAAAAGCTAGTTGGAGTAATGATAAAAGTCTATAAAACTTATAATTTGTTTAAAAAAATATTTCTACTTGATATCAGTAACTAATTGAAAGAGTAGATTTGAGGAAATTCAAAAGTTGGAAGGTGCGTAGGTTGCTTAGTTTCAGATAGTCTTCCTATAACTTTGATTAAAAAATCTATTTTTTCTAAAAAATTTTCGAAAATTTTAAATTATCATCTAAACATATGATGACAGCCCATAGTGAAAAGGGGTATCTGAAAAGGAGTATCATATTTGTAAAGATTGAATATATCATAATAGTTATGTAATAATTTAATTATCTGGCACTTTGCAAACATCATTTGGCCATGTGCCAAGATAAATGGAAAAGACTTCAGTATTTTCGATGTATTTAACTTATTCTAATCAGCACACATTTCTTTAAGCTATTTAAAAAATTAAGGAAGATTTACTCATATATCCTGCAATGCTAAATCATACTGAAATGAACCTTTATTATAAACGCATTTGGCAGAGATTGAGAATTACATTGGTCAATCAGATTAATTAAGCAATGAATGATAAACTTAACTTATAAGTTTATGCTGGGCTCAGTTCAAACAGCCTATAATAAATCAAGCCACTGGAGCAATGAATAATATGTTTTCTAATTAAAGTATTTTTGGGATCGTTTCAATATGCTTAACAAGTGTTAAGCTGATTGCAAAATACTAAACTAATCGAATTAGCAAAATGACGGCGAGGTTTTGCTAAGAGCCGAATCTCCTATTAGCTTGAAATATTCAGATCAATTGACATATGCCAACGTACCTTGGTATTCACACGGGATTCAACCATACGGTTTCCAAATTTCGATTGATTTTAACGAAAGATACATAAACATATTTTAATGACCACTATCACTAATGGGGATTCCCCAAAACATAGCTGCTTCAGAATCACATGACAAATTTAACCCTTGATTACGACAAATTAAAAACGTAAAAATAAGTCTGAAATATTAAGTATTCTAATAATTATAGCTTAGCATACGTAATTTTAATACGGGTAAACTAATAAACTGCACATGGAGACGACCAAACAATCATGAGTTTTTAGCGAATTATAAGCAGCTGCGGCATTCAAAAATTACACATATGACTTAAATATTCAACGAAATAAAGTTTTATTAACTAATTATAAAAAAATATATATATAAGTACTCACAAAAATCAAATAATAAATAGACACGTTGCATCAGTAAGATAAATCCAAAACAAANAAAAATTTGATCGGTAAGATAGCAAAATGAATTTTACTGCGCCGATAATCGGTGCAATAGACACTCCGAAACAAATACTATCAGCATAACAAAGAGAACCTGCCAAACTGAATATTATAATTTATAATAATTTAAGAATTAATAACAATTAAAGGAATTTTATAATGAATCAAATTTTAAGGTGCATTTCAAGAATATTTACTAAATATTCACATAAATAGATCTCATAAAAATATTTATTTTTGAATGTTTAGATTGACATTGTTAACTGTAATCATAAAATAGTTATGCGATGAGAAATCAAATATTTACGTTTTGAAGTGGTTTAGGCGTTGTCTGCCTGACGTTAAAATTTAAATTCATATTTCAATTTGAACTCTACAACTGCAGTAAGCTTTCAATTTAAAACTTAAAAATATAACATTTTTCAATGTAGAATCCGTTCGTTTTATAATTTGATGACTAATATTATATATTTTAATATTTTTTTAGCTGTCATTGTTTCATAAATTTGATTAATCGTTACTTGTTTTCTATACTTTTTTAATTGAAAATATATAACTGCTTTACTTATTGTATAAATTCAATTTACTAAAAGAATTTACTATATCATATGTTATATGAATAAATTATTTAGCTATAATCTTCTTAGGCGGACTTTTCGAAGCTCTAACTTTCTTAATTTAATCTAAAATCAGTTTGGAATTTAAAAGAGAAAGTTATGCAACAATTTTATTTGAAATTTATTTGTTTTACTATATAAATTCAATTCAAAATGTTGACTGCATGCTTATTTAAGTAATTTACTTGGAAAAGATATCTTCATCATACCTGTGCCAAAATTAAAATAAACCAAGATTTTTTCGACTTCCAGACTGGGACTCACGAAAAATGAAATCAAATATCACAGAAGTAAACCAATTCGAAAAATATAAGACCAACCTACTCATATTTTTTTTTCTTCCAAATTTTCAGGAAGTCTAAAACCTGTTGATCTGACATTTTAAGCTGATTTAATGAAAATCAGCTTAAAACTTAAAAGACAATTAGTTTTTATTTCATAATTTAAATTTATTACTGCCTGTACTAAATTATTTTTATGATTCATTAATACTTGTTTTTATTATTCAATTTTAGATCATGTCTAGCAGAAAAGCAAGAGGTCGTGGTACAACCAAAAAACGTGCCCAAAGAGCAACCTCTAATGTGTTTGCTATGTTTGATCAAGCCCAAATTCAAGAGTTCAAAGAAGCTTTCAATATGATTGACCATAATAGAGATGGCTTTATTGACAAAGAGGATCTTCATGATATGCTTGCATCATTAGGTAAGCTGTTAAAAAAAGTTTTTTAAAAAAAAAAAACAAATCTGATATTGAATAATTGTGTTGTGGTTTTCATTCTTTTGGTGTAGCCCTAATTTTGTATATTTTCATAAAATCTAGAAAGAGAAGTTTTTTTTACAGAGTCCGTTGAAATATTTTATTCAGATCAATGCTGTAAGTGTAGAATATTTAACATGTTTTTACTGTTTTATTTGTATTTTAAGAACTAAGCTGGAACTGATTTATTTCTATTTAACCATAAGTTTAGCTGAAAGCAAGACGAAGCTGGGAAAACAAGTGTCCTCTCAAATAGTTTTTAAAATAATTTTAGATAATTTTTTCTAGGTTTTTTTTTTACCAAAAAAGTTATTTCGTAATATTGTTTTTTAATTATTGAAAGTTTTATGTTTATGTATAGTTTTAACAAAATAAATTTTCTATTTAGTAAAATTAAAATTTACAAAAAATAATTAGTTTTTTCTTTAAAGCAAGTGATATTTTGAAAATGTTTTAACAATTTTTTTTCCTAAGTAATTGTAATTGGAATGCAATGATTAAGAGAAATGATATTTATCTTTATGTTTATGTTCATTTCAAAGGATTGTCCTTTTTGCTGTAGCAGTTAATTTTAATTGTAACAAATGATTCTAGCATACATTAAAATTTAATTTTTCCTAAAATATTTTATTTGAGTATCAAATAACTTTTAAAAAATTATCATTGAACCTGTTAAAGACTGGATTTATCAAATGTGTAAAAATTCAAAAATAGCAACAAGAAAAAAATATTGCTGATGGTAATTTTTAAAAAGAAAAAGTTTTGAATGGTTATCTATATTTAAAAATTATCTAGTTGAATTACAAATATATAATATAACAGATTGGTTTTCTTAAGCCTTGCAGACTAGAGTTAACAATGAAATAAAATAATACTTACATATATTTTATTCACTCATGGGTGAATCACATGCATAACTGAAATTATATATATATTCTATGTTTTTAGTTTAAATGTATTTTGTGATAATCAGAAATGTATTAGATTTCATCCTAATAACTGTGTTTCAAAATTGAAATGAAATGTTCCTGAAAGAATAATTTTAAAATATTTTTAGCTAGCAGAAATTAAATAGTTTTGACAGGTGTTTCATTTGGCAATTATAAATTTTATACATTTTAATTCAATTTAATTTTAGGAATCTAATTAGATTATTTTAACTTAAAAATATTTTTTTTTTTCATTTATAATTATTTTTTGGTAGGTAGGAATTCAAGGACCATTTTTGTGACCATTTTGTATTTTCTTAAAAATTTAATACGGAAAATAATAGTGTTTTAAAGTATTCTTAGAGAAATCGAGAAAAATGCATTTTTATTTGTTCCATCTTTGAAAGTGAAATTTATGTTGTTACTTTTCCAAAAAATGAACCATTATGCCATAACGTTTTAATTTTTATAAATTTAAAACATAAAATCAATTTGTCATAATTTTCAACTTGTATTTTGATTAAATAATAGCAGAATTTGTGAAGGTTGAATATGAAATATATAATTCTAATTAAAATTACTCCTTTTTCAATTTTAATTTGGGAGATTTATTTATTTTTTACAGTATTAAAGAACAGAAATTACAGAATGTTTATAATCATGAAAAGTGTTGTTGTAGGACATTATATATAGGATGCCAATTTATCTACTTGGTCGAACACTACAATTGCAACCATTATGCTATCATTTTTATTTATTAAAAATTTATGTGTTTCAAGAATTATAATTATAAATCAAAGACTAATATTTGTACATTTTGCAGGTAAAAATCCTGAAGATGATTACCTGGAAGGTATGATGAAGGAGGCACCTGGTCCTATAAATTTCACGATGTTCTTAACTCTTTTTGGAGAAAGACTTCAAGGAACGGATCCTGAAGATGTTATTAAAAATGCCTTTGCTTGTTTTGATGAAGAAAATAATGGTCGAATCAATGAAGAACGCCTAAGAGAACTTTTAACTACAATGGGTGATAGGTTTACAGAAGAAGATGTAAATATTAGTTTTACTTCTCCAAAACATAATTATTATAATTTAATAATAAATATTTGAAAAGATCATTTTTATAATGTTTTACATATTTTGATACATTTTTTTTAACAAGATTTGAAATTTTAATTATATTACTAAAATTATGATTGGGATCTGATCTTGCACGTATGTGGATTGGAATTCATTGCACATACTTGCTAATTCACCCATTTTTACATTAGTTCTCTCCCCAACCAGATTTTTCACATGTTTTTTTACCCCCTTTTTTTAAAAAGACTTTTGCCACTTTTTAATTAATTTTCTGAATGCTTCTTTCTACAGTTAATCATTTTAAACTACTAAATGTTTACTAAAAAATTTAAATCTGCATTAGTAAAGATTTGAATGAGCTACTTTATTAGGCTACAAGTAATGTTAAAATATGTATGCCTCCTGCATAAGCATGCTCTTTTTCTGCTGAAATTTCAGGTATTTTTTCCTGAAGCCACAATCATCCTTGTTGCATGTATCACTTTTACACATATGGTTTAGCATTTATGTTTGTTATGGCCAGGGTTGGCAAGTTTTTGACACGTGACGGTTTTTACCGGTTTATACCATGGATTTTACCGTCATGTCAAAAACGTCGAAAACTGTCAAAAACCCATAGTTTTGGTAAAACTGTATTTTAGAGTTTAACTGCTTATAATTTAAAATTAATTCATTTTTGGGCAATAAAATTATGAAAAAAAGTTGTTAAAAGATATTTAAGAACAGATTCTTGCATTTTCCCAACATGATTATATCAAAACATACTATTTGAAGTAAAATATTAGGATACTAAACAAATTTTTCAACATTTCCAAGCGTCATTTTGTTTGGCATATTACATTACTGAAGAATGTCAAGTCATTCTTGACTTAGAGTTTGTTAGTAGTTACAAG